AAATTATTTTGTCAGGGGACTGGATGCATTTGGTCGAGTTTGGGACCTGCGTACAGGACGTTGCATCATGTTCCTAGAAGGTCACCTGAAGGAAATCTATGGAATAAATTTCTCTCCCAATGGGTAAATAAGCTCACTGAGTGAGGGGTGGAGAGGGTTATTGGTCAGAAAGTACTCTTTGTTTCTAACTTCAGTACTACATCTGATCCACAGCTACCACGTTGCAACTGGCAGTGGTGACAACACCTGCAAAGTGTGGGACCTTCGACAGCGGCGTTGTGTCTATACCATTCCTGCCCACCAGAACTTAGTGACTGGTGTCAAGTTTGAGCGTAAGCTTTCCTCCTGTTGTAGGCCTAATTACAAGACAGACAAATTACACTTTTGAGGAATGCAGTCCGGGTGTTAAGACTTGGAAGTGGAACAGGAGAGAATTTGGCCTCTATTGAAGGAGAAAATTATAATCTCCTTCCCTCCACCACACTTTCAGACAGAGCTATGACACAGCCTGCATCTTGTTCCTAGGAAGTAAAGAAAACTTCCATGAATGTTTTGCTTCATTTTTTTTTTTCCATGGAAGGTCCAAGCACTGAATCCTTAATATTATTCTGAATAGGTTGTCTATCAGGGAAAGAGCCAAAAGACCTTAATAATGTTATTTGTTTCCCTAAGTCTGCCTGTAGTTGTCTTTTTCGTAGAGGTCTAGTAGGAATACAGGTCAGAGTGTTGAGTTTTTCTGAATGTAGATACCTTCTTTTTCAAAATAGTATGTTCTAGCAGATTTGGGGTCTTTTATTTTCTTATGCTCTTCTGAGTACTTGAATTCCTGAAGCAACTCCCCTTTTCTTTTGTAGCTATCCATGGGAATTTCTTGCTTACTGGTGCCTATGATAACACAGCCAAGATCTGGACCCACCCAGGCTGGTCGCCACTGAAGACTCTGGCTGGCCACGAAGGCAAAGTGATGGGCCTAGACATTTCTTCCAACGGGCAGCTCATAGCCACTTGCTCATATGACAGGACCTTCAAGCTCTGGATGGCTGAATAGGCAGGACCATGGAAGAAGGATTCTAGCCTCACTCTCTCTTTAGAGCCATTTTCAAAGGAAAGGAATTGATGTGTTTTGTTCTTTCATGTATTTTGCTAATTACCATGTATAGACCCTCAAAAGAATTGGATATCCATGTCAGCTCCCACTTCAAGCAGGCAGCCCAGTCCCTGGGTGTTGGTGAACCCCTTTCATGGTTGAAATTTTGATTTTCATCTTCAAGCCCTGCCATGAACTTTGTAGACATTGTTTTTATTAATCTTTTGTTTGAATGCCCTATTGCTTCCCTCACAGCACTCCGGATTGTGACTGACTCCATTTTTAATTCTTGAAACTTGACTTTCCGTTACATGGTACATGCTTCAGGACTACCTGTGACCCAGAGAGCAAGGTGGCTGGACTATATTCTGGAAGCCCTCGAGTAGAGAGACACGCCTCACCGTGCACTGGCTAAACTGTGCCTGACAGAGCAAGAACCCTGAGAACAGGAGGTGAAGAGGTAGACCACAGCTATGCTCAGGGCTCTGCAGTAGAAAATATTTTACCTCTTCCTGTTGAGTTCACGTGGAATGCTAACTGCATTGGGAAGCTCAGAGCTGAACATTTTCCTCGTCAGAAGATGTCTTCCATTTTGCTTTCAAGATTGGCATCCTTTGTGTTACCCAAAAGCTAGGCTGTTGTGTCAAGATTCAATGAAATTTTTAGAAAGCAAACATGATGTCTCTATTGTGCAAGTTCTTTTCTATTGGTTATTTAAAGAATGTACCCTTCATGTTGAGGTAACTCTGGAAAAAAATCCCTAATGGGTATTCCTAAACATAAACTTTTTCTTTATTATACACTTGCTAAAGAGTAAAATCCTATTTAAAAACTGCCCTTTAAAGAATTATCTTGTATAGTTAAGCATTTTCTGAATCCTAGGCATTGGTCCACAGAGGTCCCTTTTTTTTTAGTTTGAGATATAGCAAATGATCTCAAGTGTGGCGTACTCCAATTCTGTCTCCTTAGTAAGCATCCTGTTAGTAATTTTTAAATGGAGGGCTGTTGCATTGTGAGCGAGACTACCAGTGAACTGAATCTGGACTCTATAATTCTTACTTATTGGCCAAGTAGCAGTTACTTTCAGCTCTCTCCACCCCAGGTATACAACCACTGAACTCTGGAAATACACAATAAATTCACACAAAAAATAGAGGAATTGGCAAGAAGAAAGGATTGTATAGAGAGAATTCAAGAAGGGCTTATATGATGGCTTCTCCTTGAACGTTCAAAACACTTTTCCTTTGCTGTTCCAGGGAGGATGAGAGTGACTTTGTTTGGCTCTATCGTGCATAACTAGGAATATGTGGTATGTAGCCAAATAGTCTGTTTAATCTGATTTCAATTATAACCAAGTAGTTGCATATCCTGTGTACCTGTTAAGCTTCTGGATTATCAGCTCTACTCTCTGTTGGGTACTTCACTGTTGTTTAAGTATTAATGGGCTCTATTTCCTCCATAGTTAGCCATGAGAAGAAATTATTTTTCATTACTACCTTTGTAGTGTGTTTAAACTAATAATGAATGTTAGTGTATTAGCGTGCAACTTTCAAATATAGTGTGTTAAAGGTTTTCAGTTTTTCAAGTTGAAATTTAACCACTTGTTCCATTAAACTTGTCTTTTGTTTTGCGGGGGGTGGGTGGTTCCAAGAGATCTAGAGGGGTAGCAACTGGGTGAAAAGATTTCATCTAAGACTTTGGCCAGATGAATGTCTTGGCGGGATATACACTTCCTTACTGGGAGTATCATTGTCCAAAAGCCGTTAGCTGAGGAGCATATCCCAAGTGTGTCATTTCGTGCTAACAGTGAGACAAACGTCATCGTCATCACTTAACAGGACGCTTAGCGCTGTCTAGACACCACCAGGCACATTCAGACATCTTGTTTAATCCTCACAGTCTTAACGAGTTAATTATTATTCCCTCTTTTACGAAAAAACTGAAGTTCAAAGAAGTTAAGTAACTTGCTCCAGGTTACCTAGTTAGTAAATGGTAGAGTCTGGTCCATCTGTGACCTTATAAGAGATTTCATAGGGCTTTAGTGAGTATGTTGGCAACATGGGCCAGACCGAAAAAAAAAAAAACAGTCCAGCCAGCGTGGCCTGTTCCCTGTACAAAGTCTGAACTTTTTAAGTGCTCCACCTTTTTTTTTTTAAAACTTTGCATTTATTTTTTTGCAGCATTTATTCCCAGACCGTAAATTTTTGTTTCTTCTGGGATATCTTTTTCTTCTGTGCAACCTCCTCTTCTGGTTTAGGAACAATCTGTTCCTTTTCAGTAAGGATCATCTCAGTGTGGCAGGGAGAGCTCATGTATGGGTTGAACCGACCATGAGCTCTGTAAATCCTGCGCGGCACCTTGGGGGCTTTGTTCACCTGGATGTGCTCAATGACCAGAGAATCTGCATCTAAGTTCAGCATTACTCTCTGCATTTTTGAGCATGTGCAGTAAAAATTCAGCACTCTTTGGGCCACTGACCCTGCATCCATCCCCACTGTTTGGCCTGGGCACACCTACCAACTCCACCATTGTAATGACGGAATGGCACACATTGCTTCTGTAAAGTGACATCCTTCAGATACTTGGTGGCTTTTCGGATGTGCATACCCTTAATGGCCTGGACGGTTTCACGAGTGTTCTTAAAGTGAACATGAAGATTTGAACTTCTTGGTCACCTCAGACCACTTACGGGGAAAGCCCACTCTACCATTTGTACTGCCCTTTTGAGGAGTCACTGCATCTCTTACTCTGACTTCATGCCAAAGGGAGTTAATTTTACCACTTCTACCTTGTGAACTTGCAAGGAGCCTATAGTGTTATTCAACAGGAAACTATTTGCATCTTGGGACAGATGATACTTTGCTGTGTAGAAATGTCTTCAGCATTGCAGCATGTCTTAGCATCCCTGACCTCTAAGGCACTCACAGCCAGAAGCACAACCCACCCCTGCATCGGGTACCAGAGATTCCTAAATGCTCTCTAGAAGGACAGCACTGCCCAACGTTAGAACTGTTGAATGTGAAGACAGAAGATGCCACAATGTTAACTATATCCTTCCCTATCCCAGAAGACTCAAAGCTGTGTCTTATTTGGTGAATCAGCCACTCCAAGAGTGTTCTATTTTGACTGAAAGGCCTCCACCACATGCTAGCTGGGTGACCTTGAACAAGGTAACTAAACTTGGGGAGCATCAATTTCGTCTGCGACGAAGCCTGCTTAACTCGGAAGCAGTAGTCCCTAGTACAGAGGCAAGTGTTCTTCCCTGAACTTCCCCCGGCTCCTCTCTGTTCGTCATTGGCTCTGAGAACATGGTGAGATCATTGCCTAATTTACCCAGCACAAGAGTTAAGGAGCAAGGATGTGTAAAGAAATGAAGTCAGTGAGGAGACATCCAGTCCCAGCATTAGTATAATTATCTTCAGTGGTGCAAATGGAGAGGTAGATGCTAGTCCCCTGGCAGGATATGTAGGCGGCTTTCCAATTTCGTAATGGAGAACTTTTTCTTCACAGTGGAGCTTAAGACTGTTTGGTTTTACTAAACATGAAGTATGTATGTCTTAACTATTTTGGAATATCTTGTACATTAAGACCCCTAAGAGTTTATAGAAGCTGGTTTCATTAAACTTACAAAATGTTATTTAGAGCAAATAAAACCAATTTCTGGCCTCTGAAAGCGTATTCTACAAATCCCAAAAAACAAAATGTTATCTTTTTGTGTTGGTGTTTTAACCGCTTTGAGATTGTTTCAGAGCCCTGAGCCACCAGGCAGTATTAAAAGTGAAGAAGAAATCAGGGTTTTAGATACTGCAGAGGTGGCAACCCGTAGTCAAGCAGCATCCAAATTCTATCTAGTTTTCCTTGGTTCCTAGATTCTGTCATGCAAAATGAAAACCAGAATCCCCTGCCTGCATGGCCTGGGATGGGAACTAAGGCTTTTACTCTATCCGGGGTTTCTGCCTTACGTCTTTTTTTTTCTTTTTTGGCCATGCGACACGGCATGTGGGATCTTAGTTCTCCGACCAGAGATCAAACCCGTGCCCCCTGCAGTGGAAGCACAGAGTCCTAACCACTGGGCCACCAGGGAATTCCCTGCCTTACCTCTCAAGGCCAGAATTACAATGGTTGGAGGAGGGGAATCAGAGCTCCCCCACTACCTACCAGGAGGAATAAAAATCTTTTCCTCCAAATCCCGGATTTCTTTTGATCACTGACTCTGGTTTCTTTCACCTTTAAACTTTTCTGCTCTTAACACTCCATAAACCACGCACTGACAAGAGGTCGTCTTGTACAAGAAGCAGCTGAGTGAACGTGCCCTCCTTGCTGGTAAGGACTCTGCCAGCCCTGGTTCATCCTACCCTTCTCTCCCCCTAGTTCTGACAGAGGACAAGCCAACTGGTTGTTGAATGAGTGAGTGAATGAATTAATGAATGCAGGCCATTTTTACTGGGACTGGTGGCAAAACATCCAAAGAGAAAACTGAAAGGGGAAGACAAACACATTTGCTCACCATTGAAGTTCACTTTCCAAATTTTTTAGCAACAAATAGTAGAGCAACTCCAAAAAATGTGAACTGAGTTCAAAGCAGCTCCAGTAAGAATTGCAGCTTGCTGTCTGAGTGGGTCAGGTTCCTGGATGCCATCGCCCAGCCCTTTGGTACAACATGCTACGTAGCCCTGGCATCACAGATCTGCTTCTCGGCCCTTCCATGACTCGTGGTTCACACCCAGAGCTCTCTTCGTATCTTTTCCCATTAGCTTTCAGAGGTTCTCATTATAGTAGGACTGTCTCCGTTCCCAGAAGCAGATGCACAGCCTAGCCGATCCCTGGAATGTAAAAAAGAACAATACTACAAAGGAAGACGACCCCAAATGAGGCTCTGCAGTCCTCATACCCAGCAGCAACCAAGAAAGGCGTGGTTCTTTGTCTGGAACAGATGCTCACCCCACACCCCCAAAAAACTGCTTGGTCCAAAAGATGGAGAAGATGAGCAACAGAGTGACGCTGAGGATGACAGCCAGCAGGTAGGCAAAGATCCGGAACTGCGGGTTGCGGAAACACCCCCTCAGAGAGTCGTGGTTGGAGCTGGGGATGGGGCTGGGGATGGTGGTAGGGGCCACGTCCCGGGGGTGCCCAGTCTGGCTCCCAGGCCCGGGGCCGAGTTCCAGCGTGTAGGCCCGGGGCTGGCGCAGGAAGTAGCAGCTCTTGGGCTCATCTTTGAGACAGAGCTGGCGGCCTTCCAAGATGACGTGGTGGGGCTCCAGGCGGAGCAGGGTGAGCACGGCAGTGTCCGTGGGCAGGTCAGTGACAGGCTGTCCGGAGGCCAGCACAGTGGGCTGGCGACAGAGCGGACACAGCAGCCGGCGCCGGGCCGGAGTCACCAGGCTGAGGTGGGCCAGGCATTCCACGCAGAAGGAGTGGCAGCAGTCCAGCACTTTGGGGGTGTGGAACGTGTTGTTGAAGGGGTTCCAGCACACAGGGCACTCTGGCTCCCGGCTCTGCTTCTCCGCCATCCTCAGACCAGACACTGGGAGGTCTGGCAGGAGATGTCCTGGCAGAAAGGGAAAAGGAGCAAAGGAACACCCATTAAGCTCCGTGCCTGTATTGGCCCTAGGCTGTGTCCTGTGGGTTGTTAAAAGGTATTATCGCCCACATTTCACTGATGAAAAAACTTAGGTTCAAAAGGTGAAGTGAAATGAACTTATCTACAAAACCGAAATAGAGTTACAAATGTAGAAAACAAACTTATGGTTACCAGGGGGTAAGGGGGGGACAGATAAATTGAGAGATTGAGATTGACATATACGCATTACTATATATAAAATAGATAATTAATAAGGACCTACTATATAGCACAGGGAACTCAATACTCTGTAATGGCCTATATGGGAAAAGAATCTAAAAAAAGGATGGATATATGTATATGTATAACTGATTCACTTTGCTGTACACCTGAAACTAACAGGTGTAAATCAACTATACCCCAATAAAAATTAAAAAAAAAAAAAATGAAGCGATTGTTTCAGATCGCCCAGTCCCTAAGCCGTAGAATTAGGTGTGGTGCTCCTGCAGCATCCCCTCTACCGGGCCCAGGCCTCAGGCACCCCACGATCATCGAGCTCCCTCAAGGAGACGGCACCCTGGCTTTGGAAATGGATAAAAATGCTCCTTGTGCTGCACGTGATTGCCCTTGGCCTCTTGGGCTCCAGGGAGAGGGAGAGGAGCCACAGTCAGTGCTTCCTGCTACAGGGCAAATATTTCCTTCCCTGCTGCCTCGGATCCTGACTAGCCCAGAGATGGGCTTTGTGAATTCCCTGGTCTATCCCTCCTCTGGGGGCAAATGCCAGGCCCTCTCTCCCTCCTCCCCTTGGGCTGCAGGGCCAATCCTCAGTGCCACTGGCCCAGTCTTTGTGCAGGGCACTGCACTGGCCTGGCAAGGGGGCCTCTGGGAAGGCTTTTCCCCTTGACCTGGAAACATGGAGAGGCTCCCCTGCCCAGATCAGCCCTTCCAGAACCTCCTCCCGAAGTTTGGCCTCCCCTGGCTCCTCCCCCACACACACACTTTGTCCTAGAAACTCCCAGAGCACCCACCTGGCCTTCCTTGGCACTACGGCTGTCAGGCAGACTACCCTGAAGGGCCTGAGGCTCCAGCCTCTTCCCCTCCAGAATCTGCAAAGCTTTGGGAGACTGCCTTCTCACCACCAACCCCGGGGCACGTCTCCATAGCAGCGTCCACGCAGCACCTGGAGCTGCCAGGTAGCCCAGGCGGCAGTCTCCTGAGCACACCTGCCTGCAGCGAAGGCCAGAGAGCTGCCCAGGTGGCGGGTAGTGAGGTGAGGGACCCGTGTTCCCCTGGGGCGTGGCAAACAACCAACCCTGGAAGCCTAGTTATCTGTGAGATTGTGGGCGGTCTCTTCAAGACCTGGGATCCCTGGCCTGGAAAGGCAGGGGTGGCAATTTCCTTCTTCTACATTGTGGAGAGGGTAAGTGAGCCTTCTGGGCTTCCTCTCTCCCGGGCCCTCATTTCTTTTCTAAAATGGCTGAAACCTCCTACTCAAACAAAGGGGCTGCCTGCCCTGCCCTTCAATTGCTATGAAATTCACCTGCTGCACAGCCTAAAGTCTCTGAATACTCTCTGAATATCAGATTCAACAAGTCCTCTCCCATCCCCTTCTGATCACTTAATGTGCCCAAGGAGCTACACCCAGAACATGCGAGCCCGGCTGCCTTCTTTGTCCTTAGATGACACAGATGGTCAGCCTGGCAGGCACTGACCGCTGAGATCTTGGAGTCCAAGACTCAGCCCTCCCACCACCCTTGGGACTTAAAAGCGGGAGTCAGGGAGGAGGACCGCTCCAGCCCCACATCCCTATTTCACCCAGAAACACTTGACTTATATTGGTCATCTGAACAAGTTGAAGACTTGAGCTTCTGAGGAAAAAGAAGTTTAAAAACCTCTTCTCCATCCTAACCACTCACTTTGCAGATGGGAGGCAAGAAGTGACTCTCACCCAACGTCACCCACTAGTTAGTGGTGACACCTGGACTTCCAGGCCACCACCATGCTGCTGTCAGAAAGGTAGAGCCCTCAGCCATTCAGTCCACCTGCTGGATGTGTGTTATTAACTGGATAGTGAGTGTTTGCCTTTCACTAGGAGATTCCTCGTGGCCAAAAGTCTCTCATGGTGGGAATCCAGGAACTGTGCAGGGGGGCCTTGGGGGTAATGAGTCTCCCTTGTGCCCCCGATATGACATCATCTACCCTGACTGAGTTGGCGCCTGCAGCAAAACCTGCTTACATTCTCACCCATGGCTTCCTGGTTTCCTTCTAGACCCTAGACCTCTGCCACTGCTTCGGGACAGGGAAGAGGAAGTGAAGACATGCAGGAGGAGGGTGGAACAGCTCTGGCTGAAGCTCGGATACTTTGCCAAAGATCCTCACCAATGAATGCCTCCCTCTGTGGACAATTCGTCCTTTCTACGAGCAGTCATTGAGTTAATGAGAGCTCGCCACATGCCAGGTGCTGTGCTAGGCACTGGGTAAATAATGGGGAACAAAATAGACATGGTCTTTGACCTCATGACATTTAGAGTCTAGTGAGGGAAAGAGACATTTAATGAGTAATGGGCAATAAATACACAATTTTAATTAATACTATAAAGGACAAAAAGGAAAATGGGCTTAGGGGACTTGTTGCTTCAGGTGAGATCACCAGGGAAGCTTTCTCCAGAGAGATGATATGAAAGCCAAGACCAGAGGATGAGAAGAATCCAGCCCTGCAGGGTGGAAGAAGAGCATTCGAGCTCAAGGGAACAGCACGTGTCAAAGCCTTAAGGTGAGAAAAAGCTCTGTCGTTGAGGAAGTGAAAGGAGGCCGGGTGACTGGGGTGTAGTGGGTGGGTCTGGATGGGGAAGTGGCTTTTAAGAAGCCAGAGAGGCTGCCCTGGAGGCTGGGGGATGCATCTGGGTTTTATTCTAGGGCTGAGCGTGTGTGTATGTATGTGCTTGCCGGCAGGGTTCGGGGGTTGGGGGGGGGTGACCTGATCCTATTTCCATTTTTTTTTTTTTTGCGGTACACGGGCCTCTCACTGCTGTGGCCTCTCCTGTTGCGGAGCACAGGCTCCGGACGCGCAGGCTCAGCAGCCATGGCTCACGGGCCCAGCCGCTCCGTGGCATGTGGGATCTTCCCGGACCGGGGCATGAACCCGTGTCCCCTGCATCGGCAGGCAGACTCTCAACCACTGCGCCACCAGGGAAGCCCCTGTTTCCATTTTTAAAGCAACATTCCAGCTGCAGAGCAGAAGACAGAGTGAAAGGGATGAGTGGAAATGGAAGACCAGTTAGGGGCTCTAGCCATGGTCCAGGTTGGGATGGTGGGGCTTGATGCATGTGAGGTGTTGGTGGAGAAGATCAAAGGGATGGGTGAAAGATATCTTTGCAGATGCAATTAAATATACTTTCCAAGAAGCAGTGGACAGCATAGATTCTAGAACCAGGTTGTCAAGGCTATTGACCCCCAACACACTGCTTGTTAGGGCTGTGATTCCAAGTGAACTGTTTAACCTCTCTGTTCTTCAGTTTCTTCTGAAGAGGAAGTTAAAAGTGGTGCCTCAGAGGGTAAAGCTCTTAGACAGAGCCTGGCACCCAGTAAAGACTATATATGAGGTGGTTGCATTATCCCTGCAAATGGATTTGAGAGAGAGGAAGGCTCAAGGCTGACTTTGAGGCCATGAAATTTTCTGCATTGAGCTTTGAGGAGCCCCTGAATTCCAGAGTGTGTCAGAAGCAGACCTTTAGTATTTATCAAAGGCCTTAAAATATACATAACCTTGATTCAGCAGTTCCCCCACTGGTAATTTATCCTGTGGAAATAATCCAGGACCTGTGCCAAGATTTGAGTAGAAAGCACGGCTCTAATGGTTAAAAATTGAAAACTGCCTAATTATCCAATAGTAGGACACTTATTAAATAAATTCTGCTCCATCCATACAAAGAGACATTCTGCAGCCTTTAAATGATGTGATAAAACATCTATTGATATGGAAATACGTTCATGACATGTCATTAAGTGAAAAGAACCAGTAATAAAACCATATTACAGGGCTTCCCTGGTGGCACAGTAGCTGAGAGTCTGCCTGCCGATGCAGGGGACACGGGTTCGTGCCCCAGTCCGGGAAGATCCCACATGTCGTGGAGCGGCTGGGCCTGTGAGCCATGGCCTCTGGGCCGCTGGGCCTGCTGAAGCCAGCCTCTCTGGCTTCTTAAAAGCCACTTCCCCATCCAGACCCACCCACTACACCCCAGTCACCCGGCCCGGGAGAGGCCACAACAGTGAGAGGCCCGTGTACCGCAAAAAAAACCCAAAAAAACCCCCAACATATTACAGTATGATCTAATTTTTCAATATATGTGTGCAATGGAAAAAAATGTGTGGAAAAACAAACACTGAAATGTCAACAGTGGTTGTCTCTGGGGGTAAGATTATAGGTTTGTTAGTTTGTTTGTTTTTCATTCTCTTGCCTGAAAATTTGAACTTTATTCTAACTTTATTGCACTAAGCTTACTACCCTTAAAGATCTTCCCCTCCCCACAAAGCAGGCTTCTGTTTTCTGAAGTTCCATGGCCAAAGCTGTAAAGGGATGCTCAAGAGGAGGGATGATCACTGTTGAATCAGCACCTGGGCCCTTATCTGCCATGGTCACCTCAGGCCTTGTCTGTGGCTTCAGAGTCTGTCGCCAGGAGGGACTCTGGCCACTTAACCACCAACGACTCACTCTCAAGCCAGGACATCCCAATACCACCCCAAAGACATCGCCTCAGTCTGTGAGCAGGTCAGTCAGCCAAATATCCATTGTCTGTAGCATCACCCCAATACTTTCAACCTCCAGAGGAGAGAGGTGAAGAACTAGCATTTTTATAGGACTTCCCAGTTTACAAAGGGCCTCAGTCCTGGCCGGGGTCTAAGTGTGGTAACTCACATCTTGATGGTATAATTTGCCTTTTGCAATTTTTTTTTCCATTTGCATAGACCATTTGATTCTGTAAAACCACCCTCTGAAGGAAGCAGGATCAGGAGTCGACAGTGTGCAGCTATGGAACCAGACTTTTTTGCTGTGAGGTCTTAGACAAATGGCTTAACCTCTCTGAGCTTTGTTTTCCTCTGTAATATAGGCTAATGATCTCACCTTATGAGCTTGCTGTGAGGAGGGGATAATGACTGTTATGTGCCCAGCAAAGCACAGCAGATGCTCAATACACAGGTAGCATGCTATTTTTACACTCATTTTATAGATGGGAACGTCAAGGCTCAGAATGGTGAAGTGACTTGCCCAAGGCTTCACAGCTAAAGAATGGCTGAGCTTGAAAGATGATCCCAGGAGCCCTGCCTCCCAGGACAGCGTTCACCCGGTCGGTGGACGATGCTGCCTCTCAGGATGCAGGGCCCTGTGAGCCGTCCCTCCACGACCCTCCCTGGTTCCTTACCTGCTCCCTTGGTGCCTCCTCCACCTCCTCCAGCTCCTTTGCCTAGCACGGCCCTGCAGCATGTGCTCTGGGCTCTGACTTCTCCCGGCCTGGTTTCCAGGCAGCTGTGGGCGTGCCTCATTTGCATGGTCTTCAGGAAGCTCTTGGCCAGCTCTCCATCTCAGGATTTTCTCTCCTTCCCTCTGCTGCCTTTGGACTGTCTGAGCCTACCAGGGACAGCCTGGAAGCTTTGGTTTCATCTTCCTCCTGTGAGTCACTCTTGCTTTCTCTCTAAGGGGGTCGAAGTCCACTCATCTTTGCAGGCCTCTGTTCTGCACCCGGTTGGTCTCCTGCATCACCTCTGACTGCACCGCCTTGGCTCACACACAGCCTTATGGGCAGTTGACAGGCAGGCAGGTTGTCTCTGATGCCACTTCTGCCCCTCGGCGCAGATCTACCCTTTCCTACTCTGCGCCCTGCAACTAAAATACAAAGGGCACTTGCAAAATATTGAGAAAATTATTTAATCCAAAAGAAAAACCATTAGGAGAGAGTCACTGAAGCATAAGCCTGAAGAGCCTGGGTTCTCGATCAAGTCAGATTTCTGGGTCAGAGTCAAGTCCTCGCTCAGAATCCAGACTCTACTTACTAGTGATGGAGACTTGAGCAAATTAATTTCTCTAAATATTATTTTTCTCAGCTGAAAATGGGCATAATAATTTTACCTATTTGATCCACAGGTTAAATGAGATAATGCATGCAGAGATCATAACACAGTGCCTGGTACACAGTAACATGCAGTAAATGTTAACTATTATCAAGAGATGATCAGGCAAATCACAGAAAAAGAAATACAAGTGGAATATATATGTAATTGTTCAACCTCATTTATAATTAGAGAAATTCAGATTTTAAATAAGATACTGCTATTTTTCCTATCAGACTGACAAACATTAACATAATATTAGCTAAAGCCCGCTACTATTATTAAAAGTAATAATAGCAGTTTATGTGCTTTATTAAATGCTTCTGATCTGGGGCAATGAATCCTCCCAAGACTCCCACAAGGCACAATATGCATCACATAAAATAAATGACTTGTCCTTACTCTTCCACAGATAAGGAATCAGAAGCTCAAAGCAAGTAAGGGGTTTACGCAAGAGCTCATGAGAAGCAAGTTAAAGAGCTGGGACTGCAAGTATGACTCTGAAATCTGTGCCGTTGCCTCACTGTCTCCCAAAAGTGTGTTCATACGATCCATCTTTTGTTCCCTCTCCTATTCTCTGTACATATGGTCCTCTTCTTTTATTCCTTTACTGACCATTTAAATTGGGGTTTGGAGAATAAACAGAAATAAATGTATTTTAGGATGTAATCAAATGCCCTAGTCCCCTTATTTTGTGTTTTAAAATTTTTATTTTAGAAGAGGTAATACATTTGCATGTTCAGCACAAGAGGTTTCATTTTGCAACGAAAAGTTGTTCTCCCAGCTACCTAATTTCCCTAAAAATTAAGGAATTATGCCATCAGTTTCTTGTGTATCTTTCCAAAGACGCTTTATGAATACACAAGCAAAACTCCTATGTCAAAATATCTATGTATTCCTATTCCTCCTTTTTACACAAATGTGCATTTGGTATACATGGTTCTACACCTTGCTTTTTGCACTTAACGATGTATCTGAGATATCATTCTGTATTAGTGCATAAAGAGCTTTTTCAGTTTTTTAATGGTTGTATCATATTTCATTGAATGGCTGTACCACAGATTACTTAACCATTCCCTTATTGATCTAATCCCTTCATTTGTTGTTGTTTGTTTTTTTTTTTTTTTGGCGGCACCTCAAGGCATGCGGGATCTTAGTTCCCTGAACTGGGATTGAACCCGGGCCCCCTGCAGTGGAAGCGCTGAGTCCTAACCAGTGGACAGCCAGGAAGTTCCCCTAATCCCTTCATTTTAAATATATAAATATTGGCTGGAAAAATAAATGCCAAAATGATTGCAGGATTTAGATTAGCCTTGAATTGTCTGAAAAATAGCTGTGTTCTTTGGGAAGTTGTAGATCCCTAACAAAGACCTCTAAGCATTTTTCCTCTTTCTGAGCAGGAGACAGAGGGATGCCTCAAGGCATGACCTGGTGGCCTGGAATTCCCTCTCAGACCTAGAACGCCCTGCTTTCCAGTATCACTTCTGGTTAACTAAGGTTAGTGAGAATTCAAGACACTGATTCAGCCCAAAGGATCTGGTTCGTATTTGAGAGTTTGGAAGCCATGCTTTCTGGTTTGGCAACTCATGCGAACCATGAAGAAGTTTATACACTTTTACATAATAATATAATTCCCTGTAAGTATCCAAAAGGTATGTGTGATATTGTGATTTATAATAAGAAATATATGTGTATTTGGCCTTCATTCTATTCCTGGCCTGGGATTGAACACACGCTCCCTGTGGTGGACGCGTGAAGTCTTAACCACTGGACCGCTAGGGAAGTCCCTTATTTAAAATGCTATTGCAGAAGAATTTTTATTGATCTGTGAAAATGGTCACAATATACTATAAATGGAGGGGGGCAAAGCAGTTACAAAATGTTATATGTATGATCCAGATTTTGTAAAACAAAATTTATATATAAAGCCTGAAAGCCCATGAGACAAAATGTGCCAATGCTTATCTCTGCATGCTAAGTGTACTGGTATTGACATTTTCTTCTTAACTATATTTTCTAAACTTTTATTAATAAATATGTATTACTTTTGCAATCAGAAAATTCACTTGGAAAACAAGGAAGTCTGAGTTTTCTGCAACCCGGGAATCCAGAACTTAAAAAGAAGCAAGGAGGGTGTGTAAGAAATCAGTCAGGGCATTGCAAGCATCGACATAAAAATAAAATAACCCATGGCCCTTTCCCGGTCACTGCTTGTCTAGTGAGCAAATGCATTATCATTAATATCTCTGGGTGGTCAGGGCTAGGGAGTACTTTGCAAACAGTGGAAAATTTTCCGGGGAGATACCCAGGAGAGATAGTGAGCCATCTCAGGAATTTGAGAGTTGAACTAATTTAGTTCATGCTTCGGAGGTGAGGTCAGTCAGCTGGAAAAGCACCTCGTCTAAGCAGTACCTTGGAACCGGGTGAGTGAAGAGTCATGAGACTTGGGGAGGCCCAGCCAAGGTCGGGGATGGAGGCGGAGGGTGGCATGAACCATGCAGGGAGGAAGAGGCAGCAGAGGCAGTAAATGGGCAGCGGAGGATGGAGAAAAGGCGGTGACGAGGCAGGTTTTGGTCAGGTGATCAGTGTTGAGCGAGCTCCCACCCCCGCCAAGGGCAGGGGGCAGCTCTCCCTGTGGGGCACCACACTGTTATCACTTGGAGCCAAGCCTTAGGCTTATCCGGAGGCCAGAACAGTCCCAGCAGCAGAGGCATCACCTGGAGATTGATAGGAATGCAGAAGCTCAGGCCTATTCCAGACCTACTGAATCAGAATTTGCATTTTCACTAGATCCCCAGGGGGATTCAGAGACACACTGAAGTATGAGGACTAATTTAGGAAAAATATCCCCAGTATATGCTCCTTGACTCATCCCGGGTACATTTGTCTTCAGGTTCTTAAAGACTTCTCAAGGATCTGACACCAGGAAGAAGATGTCCCAGACAGGGCTGGGTGAATCTCAGCCTGGGAATGGACACCGTCCCTCCCTCCCCATTTCCTGTGTGCAGCATCTGAGTTTGTTTTACACGTCACAATCCTCATGCAAAACCCTTGGGGCCAGATGTGTTTCAGAATTTTTCATATTTTAGGAAGATAATATGATGCATTTACCATATACTAGTGAGACCTGAGGCAGCACCTGGTAATCAAATGCATTAATATTCTGCAATTTATTTTATTTTATTAATATTCTGCAATTTATTATAAAGATTGATACCCAAAAGAATAAGCAACATCAGGTCAATTTTGGCACCAAATTTAATGAAAAAAACCTTTGTCTCCAGGGCTTCCCTGGTGGCGCAGTGGTTGAGAGTCCGCCTGCCGATGCAGGGGACACGGGTTCGTGCCCCGGTCCGGGAAGATCCCACATGCCGCGGAGCGGCTGGGCCCGTGAGCCATGGCCGCTGAGCCTGCGCGTCCGGAGCCTGTGCTCCGCAACGGGAGAGGCCACAACAGTGAGAGGCCCGCATACCGCAAAAAAAAAAAAAAAAAACCTTTGTCTCCAGAACGGGGGGATTTTAAGCATTGTGGATAAGGATTATGAACTGTTTTATTATTTTATTTTATTTTATTTTAAAAATGTGTCAATTGAATAAATTTAGAAACACTGATATAACACTATTTCCCAGCCCTCGTTTACCTCAGACTTAGCAGGAACTACAGGATCTAGATATTCTTTCAAATATAAAGTAGTTCACATAATTCCTTTCATCAAGCAGGTCACATCTGGCATTGTTATTCCCAGATCAATTCAAGGGATTCTGTGAGGAGTGATTGGATTTTGATGAAATTAAGAATTTATCCCAGCTAACATCAATGCGAAACATCAGAGCTAAGGCTGGACCCCAGGGCCTCCAGCTCCTAGCCCTTCGCTTTCCTCCTCTCCCTTCATCTGCCTTCCCCTCCCCTCTCTGTCCCCAGGCAGAGGGTTCCCGGCTGAGGACACAGGACAGCAGGCCTCCTGCCTATGCCACCTGGTGTGTTTAGAAACACAGAACTGCAATTGGACGGTTCTTCTTCCAGCTGGGCTGTGAATGAAGCATCTTGTCTTCCAGTCCCCCAGACTTGCCGCCACATCAGGGTGGCAATAACTGCCCCCTGAAGGTCCTTGGAGTGAGTTGGGCCAGGCACAGCCAGGTAAGTCCTGACACTTACTCTGAAGCCTTTCTCCACATGACCCCTGCCGGGAAGACAGTGGCAAAAAGTTGCAAGAGGCCGTTTGTACAAGGAAGGGCCAGGGCAGCTTCCAGGAAGGTCTCAAAGGCCTTCTCCAAATGCCCGGAGAGAATGCTCCTGGACCAAAGTCCATCTCTGCTCTTGGAATGCTCAGCTTGCAGTACCGACAGAGGGATCCTTTCACGGGGCTTTTAGTCGAAATCAAAAAGCCGGGCCCCTCCCCCCTCGCTGGGCTCCCAGGGCCTCATGGTTCGCACTCTTCTCTATGGCACTTTCTCATTTGTGCTCGTCTCTACATCTGTCTAGTTTCCCTTCTCTCATGGGAGTTTATTCTTTAACTTTTATTGTAGTACATGTCCAATATGGAAAAATTAGGCAACTCAGATGAATATAACACTGACACTTAGGAACAATGCTAGGCACTATTCGAGGGGCTCTACCTGAATCGTATGACATCCCTGATGACAACTCTGTGAGTAGGTGCTGCCATCATACCGTCTCCATTGCACAGATGACGGCACTGAGACGCAGATTAAGTCTCTTGCCCAAGGTCGTGAGGCTAAGGAGCGGCAGACTGGGATTTGAACCAGGCATGGTGGTGCTGGAGTCCACGCCCTAAAACCAGGCCACACTGTCACCTATAAGGAAGAAATAAACTCACCCAAAATCCTACATGCAGAGATGACCACCGAAAAAATAAAGCTCAGGATCCCAACAATGTGAATAAAGCCCTCTCCACAATAAATAAGACTGTAAAAATAACATCTTCTGGATGAGAGGCAACTCAAAGTGGTT